TCACGTTACGTGATAACTTAGATCCTCTACTTCATCAATTTATTGACGAATAGCCTGAATTTTAATAAGTATCAGTAGACGAACACCGTATACAAGTTTTAAAAAGATACATTACAAAATCACATTGATTTCTCCAGGTGCCCCAAGACAGCAGTAGAACCGGTGTAGGAAGTGTATGTTTGTAGTAAATCAGATGTACATTACTTGCGTGAGCACAAAACAAGTAAGCGGGGAAAAAGGCGGATACTGCCGGAGGCTTACATTGATTTGTCGCTTTTACATTTGTCGTAATTGATGAAGGTATGCCTAACCACCCGATCGGGCAATAAGCCGGTGGCCTTAAAAAGAGTTTCCTCTCATTTCTCGCGATCCACTAAAAGAGAGAAAAATTCTAATGGGAATTTAATTGATTGCGCCATTCCAATGCCGCCTGTGGCTGCGCGAAAACATTCCTTGGCACCGACGAACGGAGGCAGTGCGATCTAATCGCTGCAGACAGGTCGTCGGGGAAAATTAATTTCTGCCGGAGCGGCTTCTGTTCGACGTATTTCATTAGCCTTAGGGTTATACGTCTCGCCGCGGGACAGGTTGCGACTTACGACACCTTTCGCCGCGTGCCGCTAATACGGGGAGGGCCCAGCTGTCGTTTTTTCCAACGGCGATGCCATAAAAGACGCCTCGCTCAGCTGCACCGAACAAGTATGCTCGACGATGTAGGCTCGCATTCGAGTCGGCGTTAAACGTACAGCGAACAGCATGAGACTAGATAACGAATGCGACCGGTCGGACTTCTGCTGTCGGTATTCCACGGGTAGGTGTTTTATTTACCCATATTAGTCTCGTTATTATCCATCGTAGGGCTGTTTCAAGTTATTTGTATAGTATCGCTGAGAAAAGACTTGCTCTTATTTGGGAACGAACGAGATCAAATTGGTTTGCATTACCATGTAATCGTCTGGATTATTTTAACCGCTATAATAAATGATATTATACAATGACGGTAGCATCGAGCATGATGGATATTTCTTATTCATCTATTAAGACTCACGAGCGAGGATCGTTGGGTATAGCTTGCTCCATTTTTAATACCGAAGTTGAGCGAGCGAGGCTTTCAGTTCGCTAGTAATCACTCGAGACATCGAAACTTCTCGTGGCTACGATGGGTATATGTTTGTGTTGGAACTAACTTTCGCTTTGTAAAACTTTTAATAATCATACCTCTTTTTGTATGATACGCTATCATTTTACGAAGCGCGCTAAAGAAATTTAATCAACGTAAAACGGGGCATATTTCACTTTGTATCCATAGCACATTTTTAATTAAAACTTTTATCCGTCGGCGTTTGTATTTGGTGTTTTAAAATCCCGAAAATTTTACTGGTAAGGTACCACGTAATAGTTTGCTGCTGCACGAATGTTCGTCTGGTGAGTGAGGTAGCCGGGCCCACTTTATTAGAAGGTGGCAACGGATACAAACCTACGAGTGTTACAAATGTCCATGGGGCGGCACTTAACATCAGGTGAACCGCCAGCTCGTTTGCCACCTTACCGCATAAAAAAACTCTTTTAAACAGGAACATAATTACGCCTCGCTTAGTACCTAATTAAATAACTTTCTATCCGAAGAATCATTGGTAGCATACAGACGCTATTTATAAATCTGGGCGCTGTCTTTGAGGCTCACCAAATAAACACCGAGCACACGTGCTCTGTGAAGTGTTTGTATATATTTAACACCTAGGTTAAAAGGGCCTTTGTTGCTCGATGTATCGAAGCGTTGGATAATGTTATGACTACCGTAGCGTAAAGTGGCACGGGCGCTGGGACGGGACTCGAATATCGCGACATTCAGATATCTAGACCACGACCTGACATAATTATTTTCATTCGGTTTGACGTTTCGCGATACCCGCTCGAGTGTAAAATAAAAAAAAAACTGATTAACATTAACACGGAATTCGAGACGGGGAAATATTCACATGATTAAACAAAGACGGCCCCTTGGCTTAGTTGGTAAAGCATCCGGGCGGGAGCCGCAGGTCCAATCCCACAGCACCAAAATTTTATGTACTTTATTTTTATATTTATATACAGGGTGGCTTTTCTAAGTGTATACATTTTTTTTTTATTAAAGTCTAGACATTATTAATGTTATATAAAAATTATAAATATTTAAAATCACTCGTAAGTAATTAATTACATTCATTTGAACTTATCTCAAAAAGTGCGTGATTTATATGCAACTCATTCATTTTACGCGCGATCATTCATAACTAACATGCACACAAGTTCGTAAACAGTAAAATTTAGGTATTTATGAATGACTACCGCATTGTCAACACGTTCTGTTTTTTAGGGAATAGAATGGCATTTTTTTTTAAAAACTGTTTTTTATTTCAATAAACGATTATACTACCGAGTCTGAACCTCCTGTGTAAATTTGGGCACTTCGTAAACAATCTCCCTCTATAAAATTCTTCTGTGCGTGTTTATGTACTCCCAATCGGTTGGACCAATTTGGTGAAATTTTTTGTGTCTTCAGGTTGATTCGAGAATGGTTTAGATTAACAAATCAGTTCACTAAAAATGATTTTCAGTGAATTTTTTTATTAATAATTTGTGGTCGTATTTAAGACGTGTAAACTAGACGTGTAGCCTGTATAAATAACATTTTAAGATTGATCTTGAGTGGACAAGGATCCCCATACAGGACAACTATTTGCATGACCCACAGATAGTTGCTTCGCATCTGGGTGTTTGCCCACGTGAAATTCGTCGTTTCTAAAACGTCCTCACAAGACAGGACGATGTTATCTTAAAAGGCAATGTTTTTCTAAAAAAATAAAATAAGACAAAATATTGAATACAGCTGTTTGTGAACGAGGTGAAATTTAGCAGGGTTCACTGCACGGATGAAATTTGTAAACGTTAATTCGCAAATTAAACATTTTAATGGCCGCCCGATGGCATTTATATTCGAAACTGTCGCCGTGCCCATTTGGGGCGCGTCTTCCTCGGGCGGCATTCCGAATGCGATTCGGCAACGATCAAGGATGAAGACGCGGAGAGTTGTCGATGTTTTTTCTTTCCTCGTTACCGACGTGGACCGTTACTCGAATTCGATTGCCTCGGACAATCGGTTCAGCGACGAGTTCCGCGTGCCGTATATGGGTCCCGGTGTTCCGATTCTCTAGCCCCTCTGCGAATTTCCACTTTTTCCAACGCGCCGCACCCTATATGTAACTGCGTCCGCGTGGCGTATAGAGGCAAGGGCAACAATAAAATAGATACTTTTTAAAGAATGTCATTTCTACACTTACAAATCTCCCGCGATTGCAACTATTAATATAATACTCCGACCTAAATATCTGACGTTTCGAAGTCCACAGGACATATAGTGACGGAACAGGCTTCGTTTTTTTTTATGTGAAAAGTTGCCAGCGAGCAGACGGTTCACGTGTTGTACACTCGAAGGTTCCCAGATGCGTCGACCTTTTGAAAAATTGGGCTCGTACCACCTCACTCCCCGGAAGAAACGCGTAAAGTATTATACTTCCACTTTAGGCCGGTCATCTGTGAGGTCGCGGTACTCACCCGGACGATATTGCCCATTCGTGCAACAGCCGAGGCTGCTGCGTGGCTTTACCACCGTGAAAATCCTTACATTCAACCAATCTCGAAAGCAAGATCATAATCCACACCAATTCGCGCGAGTCACGCGAGTTTTTCAGCAGTTAAATATTAAAATGTGCAAGACGAAACGGTCTCAAGGCTTTCCGCGGATGAAACTTAAAATTTTCCGCGGCACGGTCGGGGATCGAAATCAAATCTGTCGCTAATTAGATCTATTGGCGTCGGAAGCCGGTGCGGACCGGTTACTCCCCGCCAGAGCGGAGCCCTCGCCACGAATTATAATTAACGCGATGCAGCATTCGGGTACAGCGGGCCCATTGTTCGGCCATCCGATGACCCGATAACACGGATAGACTTCCTAGTACGCGTACGATTTCTGGTCATACAGAAACGCAAGTCAAAGGCGGCAGCGTGTTATTTATACTAATCTAATATTACATATCATTTACTGCAATAAATGCGAGTTCGCGGCTCGAGGCGGGTGTGAAATTTTTCATATACGGTACGGTAAAATGGTAACAAAAGTGAAGAAGAAAATTGATACCACAAAAAACAAAAAGATTTGAACGAAGCAATTCGTTAAACCCATCAAAAATTCTGCAAGTTTAAACAGTACCTGTGATCTGTTGTTAGGCGGCGATAAATTTTATGCAATAATTATTACAGTATTAATCGCAAGGCCACGTAAACGGGCACATGCAAGTGGTGTAACGTAAACGTTTCGCTCGATCTAATAATACACTAGTAGGTAACAATGAGTTGCGGCGGCGTTTGTTGTGTGCGTGCGCGTCATAGCCGCGGGCCGGCGTCCAGTCGTAAAACTAATTTCGGCCGAAATAATGGCCGGGACGGCTGCAGAGGAGAATTCGCAACGAGCGGCACACATAGCGCAAACAATGAACCACAAGAACCTGCATAAAACCCAAACCGCCATAGCCAAAATTGCAAGAACCCCAAATAGCCGAAAAACCGGAGCAGGACGAAACGCCAGCCGCTCTCACCGTGCACCACTTCGACGGCGGTCGAAGGGGCGAACTGTCTTTGACACAACGTGATCTCAACACCGCGAAGGAGAGACGCATACCGACCGTGTTTCGATTATAAAAGTGGACCGCGGCGCTCTGGCGTCTTGCCAGCGGCGGACGATTGAATGAGTGACGATTTGCAAGGGCCAAAAAACGCGGCTAGACGCGAGCTATTTCGGTGAGGTCGGATGCTCTCAAGTGGGCCCTGACTCAGAGCTACTCGCCACTTGATTTAGCGGCGCACCGACGAGCATCGGGCGGCCCATTGAGCCGGTGGCAAGCGTATCTGCCAATGTTAATGGACGCTCGCAGGGTGGCGTTCGGAGCGAATCGCGCGAGCGAATGGGCCGTCAATGGAGGCGACTGTTCCGCAATGAAGGAGGGCCGCTGTTGCAAGAGACGCGGAGTGTGTCGGACGTGATACGGGAAGTGAAGAGTCCCTTGTTGGAGTCACGTACGCGACCCGCCGTCTGTCGATGCGCTCACATCGGGCCGCGAGTTATCGTCGGTCATCGAGGTGCAATTATCTAGTTACTCTCAGTTATCCCGCGCCCCGCGATTGTACGACAGTGAAAAATTTCGAGAGGCACTTGCTCGAAATTTGCCAATGGTACGCCCCGCGCAAAACATGCATGTAAATCACTCTCGTCTCGGGGCGTTTAAAGATAAAATGGCAACGTAAACAAATAAAAAAAGTTATCACTTTGTTTCTCTGGCTTCGGGTTTAATGGACTCTCAGGGTGAAACGGTTATTTCGGCGAAATTGCACAGAGTACACCACTTACCATAAAATCGATAGTATATGCTTATCACTGGTTGTAACGGGTTATCAAAACCATTAATGGCGGATTTAAACGCAGACAGGATAAGACAGATTCTCCGACGAGTTATATTACCTTCATTGGCATTTTACTTTCCACAGATGCTAATAAATCTTTAACAAAAAAATAACGGCTAAAATTAAAAAAACAGTAATACGATAAACATTCCACTGTAAATTTCATGATCGGGCTTGATTGTCCCGCCCTCCATTATCGTAACTATTGTAATAAATCTTTATTACGTAATTACCGCAACTAAGAATAGTAATTACAATTGAATCAATTCGTAGCGACTTCTACTATTGAATTATATCATGCCTATGATAGCCACATGTTTATATTCTAATATTTGAATTAATATTGTATTGATAAAAAATCAGTTCGTCAGTAAAAAGGCAGGTCAAAATTACTTTGAAAATTTATTTTAAAATAAAAAAAACTTTGATTAAATTAATTATTAGAAATTTACAAAAGTTCTATCGGGATAAATGTGAATTAGTAAAACGATGATAGATTTATAAGTTCTTACGATCGAAATAAAGAAAAAATTGAATATATATATCGACGTCAGTCGAAATATTAAAAAATGGAAGGCGTACGTGACCCAATAATCTGTAATTAGGTCTTATTAACAAAATATTTTGAAAGCGTCTAGCGCAATGCTAGGGTATTTCGAGCCTGAGTGTGTCATAACAAGAATGGCAGTGTCAGGTTTCTCATAAGAAACAAGTGACATCAGAATTTCAACGCTCAATTACGGCGCAGATATCAATTACCTACAAGTGTTAGGTAGCAATGAACCGTGCATACTGAATGGCATGCCTCACCACGGCCGACACAAATAAACAATATCGCATGAATGACGTATGTAACGAATGATGTTCACAATCGCATGCGTGAGCTTGGATAACAATATTTTGAAACCTTTTTTTATTAATATACATTGGAACAGATGACATTCCTACAATTAAAAAGAAAACACAAGATATGAAAAAAAAAAAGAATCAAAACAAAAATACAATTTGTATAACTTCAAGGTTATATAACTTTGATAAAAAATTTAATCACAATAATAAATCGCGTATCAGCGACGAGCGGCAATGATAACGGAACGTGGGCGCAGATAAAAAAAAATCGTATCGAGCTAGTTTTTGACTACCAAAAAAAAGACAACCGAGCAAAAAAAAAAAACCGGCACAAAGTCGCTCGGCGGGCCCGCTCACCTCGTCAGCGGCAACGTTGGCGTGCATCCAACTGCAGATGCGCACCGCCTTGGCTGTTGCCGAAACGCTCTTCGGTACACTCGAGTGTAGGGGCGAGGGCTCCTCGGACACCGGGGTGCTCACGGTGCTTCCAACGACACAGAGGGGGCACAACGGTACGACCAAAGTTTGCTGGTCTCTCACATCACGCGGGACGATCGGCGCGTCACAGGCCGGTGCGGTAGAGCGACTAGGCGGGACACGTGTGCTCTCGGCGGTAGACCGCGGACAACAGCAGATAAGGCGCGAGGGAGCGGCACTTCTCCCCCCACCTATGACACGACCGCTACACGCTGGCGGCGCGGCGAGACTGACGGGCTGCCGCGGCGTCAACGGAGGCGGGCATCATCTCAACCCCTCGTTGTTCGCACGCCGTCGCCACTTTTTACCCACCCCGTTGGAGAAGAAAAAAAAAAACAAAACAAGGCACATCTCCCATAAGGATAGTAGTCGGAGCCAACCAAGCCGCTTTTTACTAAACGCCAGGTAATTATTCAGCTCCTTCGCGGCATCCTGAATTAACGAATACGAGAAAACGGCCACCGTCTCCGTTGTCGTATGAATGCCGACGATTGTCGACGGGGAGATTATCGCAAACCGTTTATGGCGATGCGCCGCGGACGTTAACTATACAAAGATTCATAAGTTCTTCGTTTTCTAAGTTAAATAAGAATAAAGTGACCATAAGTATGCTTAGGGATATGCTTAAGGTTACGTTATTTCCTGTTTTTCGTAGGTATTATAGATGCGATATATATTCTATCATAATAGCTGTACGCATTAAGATATCTAGCATTATATCGTATAAAAGAAATCAGGTCAAAGCTATCTACGAACGCTTATGGTTTATTTTGATTAACAATTAAAATGTCGTATATAAATGCGTCTAATTTTTTTTACTCTAATCTACCGTTTATTTAGTTAAGTATTTTCTCTCCATCCTTTACTACCAAAACACTGAGATTGTAAGTCTTTAACTTTTTAAAACCAGCCAAACAAAACCTATTTCCTGTACTGATTTTGCTTAAAATGCTAAACTGTATATATAATTGCCACGGGAGCGTTATGTTTCGGCAGCGAGGATCATTGTTTCGACAAGAATGTAAACTTACCTATAACTAATTAGTGATCTACAATAAATATTTCTTATACGGGTATTTATGGTAATAATCACACAAAACTACCAAAAATATTACCACTAATTTTAAGCGTAAAATAATCCCTTTTTGTTTCCGAACTAATTTTCTCAAGATTTTCGCGAATTTTATTTGTCATCATCGTGTGCATATTGACAAATAGAATAAAAAATAAATTGGAAGAAATTTGGACAAAGAACATTCTTTCTCCTATTTTAGGGAAAATTTACGTGACAAATACATAACTTCTTAATGGACGGTGTGATCATTGTTAAAAGCCTCGATAAGTCTCTCGATACAGATTTCCTAAAAAAAAAAAAAAAAACAAATACCGAAATGGCGGTTGAAGTGTGAAACTGTGCCACGTCCTGCGGCGCGGCTAATGGACGCCCAATGCCGGTAATGAGGGACGGTCGCCATCGCCACCGTCACGTAGACAACGGTACCCACCAGCGAAGCGAACGCGCGCTGTCCACTCGAACAGACGGTCTTTCGCTTTTGGAAGTTGGCCGTTTAAGAGATGTATTCTTAATGTAAACAGTTGGCAAGCTAGCGGGCGGTTCACCTGATGTTATGTGATTACTGCCACCCATGGATATATACGACACCGAAAAGATCGCGGATGCGTTGCCAAAAATGAGAAAAGTGCGCTCCAACACTCACCGCACGAAATAGGCAATTATAAGACTTCCACCACACGCCGGTGTTTTGATGTTGTTATTAAAACCATCTTTATATATTCTGAGCTGACACGGCAAACGTTGTTTTGCCATATAAATTATTTATTTCTAGAGGAATCGGAACGCGTTCAAAAATAGTTTGTCAGGTACAGTTTGTATGGGAAAATAAAATTGTTGCTATTTCGATTTTCCATGCAATATTTCCATAATTTCTCATCGTTTAAACCTTCCCTAAACTGCCACGGATATTTAAAAAAACAAAATTATCCAAATCGGTCCAGCCGTTCTCGAGATTTAGCGAGACTAACGAACAGCAATCCATTTTTATATATAAGAAGATACATGACTTGTAACGTAGTAAATAACGAACTCATTTATGGAATGAAGGCCTTAGTAATGTCATATTTATTATTGAAGTATTGTCACAAAAAGATAATTACAAAAAATCCTTTGCCACCAACTACGCTGCAAACACGTTCTGCGGTTATCGGTTTCGATTACCATAATAGTATAAATGTCGTTTTGCACGATATTCAAATACGCAACCAACTATTGAGAGCAATTCTTGTATATATATATATATATAATCGGAATCTCGGAAAAGGCTCCAGCGATTTACATAAAATTTAGTATGTACGTGGATTCGGAGGCGAAAAATCGATCGGCTAGGTTTCATTTTTAGAAAATGTCCTTTTATCCCTGTTTTCAGGGAATGAAAAATATCATTCGAATAAGACGGTAAATATCGCCGAAAAAAAATGTTATAATAGCTCGGTCGATAATAGGGCGATCCCGAAACAGAAGGTTGCGGTTCGTGTCACGATCAATTACACACTTATTTTTTTTTTTTACCTTTTTTATATACCAGATTGCTTTCTTTATTTTTTTTATTTCCAAAATACACGATTTACCAAAAAATATAACGAGCAAAGCTCGGTCCTCCAGGTAATATAATATAATAGCGGATTGGCGCACTTCACAACTTCGACACATTTTTGTTTATAATTTCGAAAATATGCCAGTTTCCTCACGATGTTTTCCTTCACCGCTGAGCACGGGAAAACTGAAACTCAGTTTGCTCGATTGTATTGTATTATATGCGAGCGCCCGTACACTGAGCTATCACGACTCGAAAGTGATCCAAAACAGGTTATATCTTCTAAACCTTTATTTTATATTATAAAGGGTGGAACACATTCTTGTAATGTAATACGTAATTATCATTAGCTGAGTTAACACCACGGAAGTGGAAGTGGGCCGGCCATGTCTCCAGACGTACTGATGGTCGCTGGAGCCGACACGTGTTAGAGTGGACACCACGGTTGGGAAGACGAAGTGAGGGACGGCCTGCAGCACGATGGACTGACGACTTAAGTAAGGTGGCGGGCAGCGGATGGCTGCGGGCTGCCCAGGACCGGGATAGTTGGTGCACTTTGAGGGAGGCTTACGTTCAGCAGTGGACGGCAATAGACTGATATTGAGTTGAAACCAACAAAATGTGATTTTTTTAATGACAGTGCTCTCTTTAACCTAGATATTTAGATAGGCAATTGACTCAATGAATATTAATAACAAACTGCAAGTGAATATTAAAGATTTCGTTGGATGACCGAAATTGAAATTACACAATAGGCAATGTGGGCGTGTCCTTCGAAACATCACCGTCCAATGTGATGTTGCGGATTCTAATCTCAGTGGTAATAACAAAAGCGTTTGTGATTTTCAGATTGCTTAAATTTTATTAGTCCCTATGCCATGTCCCTAGTGAAAAGCAACACGAAATGTAAAACACGCTGTCTATCTCGGAAAATTTTATGTGATATACTTACATAGTGATTCGTAAAAGATTTCTCCCATCGACTTAATCACTAACTCAGGTATAGGCATGGGATAGCTCTAGTGTAGTTCACAATTGTTATTTCGATTAAACCACACTCGCGAGGGACATTCACGTGGGCCTTCAATTTAAATGACATCTTATTCCAACTAATATTAGTTATCAACAGCATAGTCAACTTTCTAACGATTCGTCACTTATCTAGGGGATTACGTAAGCGCCACAAATAACCGAACACCAAACAAAACCAACGCAAACTATTAAAAAACAATTTAGTGATAACATCGCCGATGGGGAGAACGGAAAGCGTGGGATTGCTTTTAATTAAGGCAAACATAATAAATCAGGGTTTCCTTTAAATATCACGAATCGAAACATTAGTAAATTAGAGGAATAAGGTTGCTTGTTTAAATTATTTTCTAAATATTTTCTCAGTGCTACTGTATGATAGAAAGTGGTTTCTGCTTATTCAAGTATTAATTAAGTAAGAAAGTATGTTTTGACTTACAAAACAGTTCTACGAAATTGACGGCGCGCATCGATTCTTCTTTTATAAAATGTACATACTCGTATTTGATTTATTGTAGGCGTTTTAGTCTACATTAATATTTCAGAAAGACAACAGTCCAGGTTCGTATTTTTTTAATGTGATAAGATAGTAAGCGAGCTGGCGGTTCACCTGATGGTAAGAGATAACCGCCGCCTATGGACATTTGCAACATCCATAGGTTTGCATATGTGTAACTTTAGTATGTAATTAAAACTGCATTATTCCAATAGTGAATAAATATTATACACTTTAGTGCACTCCGGTTTGGCGGTCATGAGTCTCAAAAATTACAGTAACAATATTTTGTCTGTAAGTTCGTAGATGTAGATCCATTAAGATAATAATAATTAGCATAAGACCAATTTAAAAGCTTGATTAAATGACAGATGCACTGCACGCATTAAGAATAATAATCAGTCGAATTAATAATAAGAAGAAATAAAGCAAGCGAAAGTAGTTTAAAAATACCAATTAGTTCACTGCTCCTTCACCCTACCAGAGGGGTAGGTAGAGATAAAAGATAACTCCTAATAGGCCAAAATGGAAGTGATACAGAAAATGGTAGTTAATATGATGAGATAAACTTTAAACACAACTTATAATTATCAGAACAACAGTCACTGTCAGAACCGGTTCCACGAGGAACAAGTATTAACAGATGTAACTTGGCTTTACATAGAGAGGAACCATCACGACATATCCGGCATTAGACGGCACCGGTTATGAGATACGTTGAGACTGATTGACCATGCCTACAGAAGAAGGACAATTTGCATTCTGGTAGGTATAAGAAGAACATTACGATGATGCATACCAATGGCAATCTTTATATGACTGCAAATGCATACAGGTTTTATTACTAAAAGGGTTGTAATCGTTTAGGTTAAAATTATCTCAACTTATATTAAGAACAGAGTCACCACCCAATAGACATTAGTGAACTTTTATTTTTTTTACTATCTCTACTAATATTATAAATGTGAATGTAAATTTGTTTGTTACGCTATCACGCCAATACTACTCAACCGATTGTCATGAAACTTTGTACACATATTATTAGAGTACACATATTATGAGATTATTAGTATTAAAAAGGACATAGGATTATTTTTATTAAATAATATATATTTAAAAAAATATTTATTTAAGGGGAAAAGCTAGTACAATATAAAATCGCTCAGGCGGCATTTCATGAGCTCTGCATATTACGTAAGGCGAACGGCATGTATTTAAATACACACAAAAATGGTAGACAGAAGACAGTGTCAAATTTAAGTAGAGCTTCACCTCATGCAGTAATTTTCACATTTTATTGAATTCAGCAATATTTTAACTACTGCTGAGCAAAATATGAACCCCCCACTGACCAACAACAATGAAAATGAATAGGTGTAAAGTTATAAAATGTGCCCAGACATAGAATTGAAAATCTAGTCATAAGAAGAAAACAATTAAGCGTGTTTAGAGAATTCCAACTTGAGCGTGAAATTGCGACGGCTCTTAGATTCTGCTTCGATTTGCACACATACATATGCCCTTAAATAAGATAGAGTTTGTTACTACGAAAGTAATGCATCACCCAAGTGTAGCCAGTGGGAAATTATCGGAGATGTTTATCACACCCTAATGAAATGTGCAAGCATTAATGGTGACAGATTTCCATTCATGTTCCGATTAAAGTAGTAAGGAAAATGTAATGCCATAATATATTAGATGTTGGTTTCGGTAATAGTGTTCTCTTCTCCAACTTTCGGAGACGCTAAGGCACTTTATAGTATGGTTAAAAATTGTTTAAAAAGCGTTTTTGACTGAAATTCGTGCCATTAGGATGTCCTTTTCATGAATGTGAAAAAAACATCTTTGATAAAATAATAAAAGGAAACATGCTCACGTACGTTTTAGATACAACACGAAGTCGTATTTTTAATAATGAATTATATATTAATTAAAAACATTTACTTATTCTTCTAAGAAGAGCTAAGGCAGTAATGACTTTTTCATATTTAAATATAGGTACGCGTCGATAAAGTGTTAATGGACGTCCAGTCTCGCTTGGTAGATCAAAGCATAATCGCTGTGAGGGTGCAGTGGAGCAAAGTCTCGTGCGCGATAGCACTAAATTGCCCACAACCAACTATCATTATACAAATGGGCCACGACGGCAGCGATAAAAGGCGGCGATTCAGTAGCCCGACGGCCTGAATTGATTCGAAACGGTGGGCGGGACGTGCCGCGAAGGTATGGAAATGAATCGACCTTGCGCACACTGCGTTCAAGTTCTAGGTTGCGTTTTCTTTTTAATATATGAAGATATGGCCAACCACCGGCCATGGGAACTCGCAATATGGGTGACGCCTCCTATACGATGGAAGGACCCGTTTACTCAACGGTTGTTGCCACGCCGTGGCAAAGAATCAAGGTGAAAGAATATCATGATCAGTCTCACATTTGACAAATATTTATTGAATGTAGACTGGTGCAGGGCTTGCTTGGATCGGAACGCATGGCGGCCTTAAGCCTATGATTAGCAGTGGACTGTAAAAGGTCGGAATGAAAAATATTTATATCATATGATGACCATCATTTGATTTTTTTCATTGCTCGCCGTCAGACTCTTGTCCTGTTGAGCTTCCGGAATTGATGAAACGTGAATAGGAACAGAACACAAAGGTCTTTTTCGTTTAAGTTTGATTGTTCATCGTAGAACGTTCACTTCCCTTACATGTGTAATGGGTAGGTGATATTTAATTAATGTGTAGCTTGTTCAATATTGTTAATCAATCACTGTAACGAATAAAACAACTAAGACACGGTCAACTCGTTAGAATTTCAAACATAACTTGATAAAATATTGTATTTGTGTTAGAAATTCTTGTTACGTCCAGAACCAATTCGAGTAAGGACCGAACCGAAATTCATATAGCAACACACCAATGACAATGCGAGAAATCGACATTTTCCGCGGAACTTTCTCCTTCTCATTGTGGTGGTATCGGAGGTGTTGAGCGATTTATCGGTGCTCTCGTATCTGCGACACGGCGCGGGAGTCGAACCCTGGCGCGCGGGTAACCATGGCAACGAGTTTCACCCGGCACAGAACGGACCACCGGCAAAGCGAATTAATGTGCAGGATAAGAGCCTGTCCGATAATACATAAACAAATTGTTGGTGACTTAATGCTGCAGCAACCTAGTGGGATACTTACCTGCGTCGCTTGGAAAGTTTATCGTTTCGGGAATGCTAGAAATGCTGTTTTGTTTCTTCTCTAGATGATGTGTTTCACGTGTGGCTGAGCTCAACCCAGAGGCGGTGGTCACTGTCAAGTTTGAACACTCTCGCACATGCAACAGAATTGGATCGTTAGCAAATGAAAACCATTCTTTTATTATTACCTTACGAAAAGTCACTGCTGAATAATGCAATTTCAATACTGGTAGACTCGCAAGAAAGCAAATACAGAAAAGCTGACTTATAATTTCAGTATGTTGACCGTCGTTTTATAATTAGCTAATAATTTAGCGAAACATGCGTTCTTTGAATATCGCACATGTATCTCAACAAATCAAAGCTGAACGTAGTTTTGTCTGCTGCAAATGAGCTAGTATTGTATGTAGGCCTAAAAGTTGGGATCTACCGACCCGCTTAAAAATTGTCCCGCTAAGTTTCTTTCGCCGGTTCTTCTCAGATCAGTCGCATTTCTTCACCGATTTCGGTAATCGATAAGTTAATATAAAGCTTCTACATTGGACAAAGATATTTGAATTTGAACTTAGATTTTTCGTCATTTGATGCGTCAAATCTATAACTCCGCTTAGCTGGATGTAAAATCAGACCAGCCACGGTATACTCGGCCAAGGAATACCAAGAGCCCGATCCCCGATGGCTTGATCGAGGATAACCAGTTGGCGCAACGTCTGCAGCCGAACGGAGGCGCAGGGACGGCCCTGGCGTACGGTACGTACTAACGGAAGCGGCACATCACGCGGCGGGCGATAATGCCGCCAATTAATACCGTCGTGCCGCGGGCCCAGAGACAGGTAGCCGGCCTATCTGGGAAACATTTCACCGGCTAATTGATATTTGCATAGACCACTGGGCCAAGCTCGTTAGGCGATGGGAAACACGAGAACTAAGCTAGGCAGCATCACGGCCCCGTAAAGTACGAATTCGATGCCGTTATGAATAAATTAATTTCATATTCGTATCGTAAAATCGTTGAAAGAAACTCGCTCCGCCGTTAATTTAATGTATCCACTCAAGTTTCGATTGTAGGAAACTCTCCACGGACAGGTCACGTATAAAGTGTTCAGTAAATCAGTATAAACCTATTTGTGTTTGGCTTAACTGTCACTATCGTTATTTTACATTTGATTGGCTTTCTGTCTACGTAATGTTGAAACTAGGCATTATTTTTCAGTCATTTATCGCTTGTTCGTAAATGGGTATTTATAATAAATTTAATAACAGTTAAGGAAATTTGAATAACAGATAAAGTAAACGATTATATTAAATGGTCAATTAATTTACAAAGAATCTTTTAGATAAACGTAAACTTAACTGACTTTACAAGCTTTCTAACTGCAAATAAACGTTCCGTAAATAAATAGCACTAAAATAAATCGTAGATTTATATATATTATATATTAAAACTTTAAAATTTATATTACATATGTTTATTATACCCGTTGTCAATAAAACTCGTAATAATAAATAATAATTTATAATGATGAAAAGTACGAAGTTATTTTTTTTTTGTAATTGATTAATTCTCATTATTTTGATTACTTGAATTAAAATAGGAAAACAAAACTTAGTAGTAAATAGTTTTATTTATTAATTTCTTTTCAAACAGTAAGAACCTCTTGGCTATGTATTAGTGAACTACGTATTTGTTTTTCAACCTTAATTAAATTTAAACTAAAAAACCTGTTCCGGTAACGCATGTGTCTACAATTTAAAAAAAAAACTTGTCTATCAGGTCCTCGTATTTTAAAAGTACAAACGAACAGAAGAACCGTCACATGTAGTATTTCATCCGTATGTATACATAAAAATCGCTTACTAAAGAGATAAACATAAATCTCGGCGAGTACACAGTCTGTTACGTCGTTAGACGGACATATTTATGAACAAATACCTCTCGAAAGTCGCGCCTTAAAAGTCCCATCCAAGAATGTCTCGTTTCAAGGCCAGATCCTTATCAAGGAATTCCTCGGCTCTTGCTTATCTCGAATCGCGAGCGCACGCTCATTCGTGAGCTTTGAGGGCTGCCGAGTTCGCCCGTAGTTTTTGGTAAGTGGAATTTATGGCCTTTAATGTCGCCCGTAATAGTTACGATGACCTCGTGTGAGATATCTAGTGCAGAACGCTCATTTATAGCTTTTATTCGCCTCCCCATCTACAATCCTTACTTATAACATTATAAACGCGAAAGTTTGTATGTATGGATGGATGAACTACTGAATAGATTTTAACGAAACTTTACAATAATATAGCTTATACATCAGAATAACACATAGGCTTTAATTTATAAAGATATTGTGTGAATTGTCCAAATATAGGTAAAATGATAAGTGTCAACTAAGTAGGAAAAAATTTCAGCCTTCTGCGAGATATTCTGGTATAAAATAAAAAAAAACTTATTGTTAACGTTATAAACTTTGGCCGCGCGGGCGAAACCACGGTTAACAGCTAGTAAGGTATATGTTTAAAAATTATTTTCGACATTATTATAGCGATGTAATATGAAAAACAGCTGGCAATTCGCAATCGGATTGAGGTAGTCCTTTGTCATGGGGAAGCTTAAGAGCAACAGTATATTAAATTCGGTTTATTGTGCTGATGTAATCTTTACCTTCTGCTGTTGCATGTATGGGCAAAGCTCGGCTGGGAAGGTAGCACAGCCTCACAGAGTGCCGTGAAGTGGAAGTATTATACTTTCGAGTTCCGTCTCGTGAGGTAACCGGGGCCCATATTATATTACGTGTTTTATTTATTTGTAGAGACGTTTACCTTAATAAATAAAGTGTCGAATCTATCATACTTAAATGTTTCATAGACTCTACACTAGTCCTACGCTTAAATGTCAGTTATATCGCTTTTTCTTCTGTTAAATCAAAAGTTACCATCTAAATACATTGCCTATGTTATTTAGGACATCACAGTTATTTACTATAAAATTACTATAAAAAAACTGTTGGTAATCGATACAGTAAACAATAGTTTCGGAATTCTGTTAGCGAGTCATGAATTCGACGACATTCCTTATATTTCTCTTTCGTATGACAGCCGACAACGCAAAAATGTTAACTTCAAAACAGGATACATGTCTTTGAAAAGATGATTCGTTTTTTTTCTAAAGTATTACTTTGAATCTTACAAAAGGGTGGTAATAGTCGGGAGTTTTTCAACTTTAATATTACATTGTAATGTTATTTAATAGCTGATTCCCGATTTTCGACCACCAAAGAATCACACGTTAACGTAACCCGACCAATGCTAGCCTCGCGGAACTTTCTCCGTTCACGTGAAAGTCTCGCCGCGTAATCTATCCCGCCTCCGTTACTTATGGGGTCGGTGATCATTCCCCAATGTTTCCTCGAACGTGCATCTTCCCTCACGAACATCGTCTTCGTTGCCTTTTAAGCGATAATGTCACGCTCTTAGAGAGGGCGATAACGCAAGACACGACCACACTGGCCGGATGTGCTTTGAGAAGTAAATTGTTTCGTTTTAAAACGACACGCGATGGGAAGTTGCAGTGACTGTACGTAAGACGAATGTAACAAAATAATAAATGTATTACAACCAGAGATTAATTAGATCCTTACTAAAATTCTTAATAAAATATTTCATTTATTTAATATTTTAAACATTATTAAGTCGAAGTCCTTAGGAATTGTCACCGGAGTGAACGCCGTCTTCGTGTCGTCGTCGTGTACCAGCTATGTTCTCCTGATGTTTTTGTGTTCCGCCGAAGCTGTCAAAGCCACCGGACTAACGGCAAACTAAACGTCACAAAAGAAGCAAAATTCGCACTAGTCTTTTTTTATATGAACAGTTGCCAAACTGGCAAACGGTTCACCTGATGGTAAGTGAATACCGCCGCCCATAGACATCTGCTACACCCCAGGGTTACAGATGCGTTGGCAACCTTTTGAAAATTGGGCACCGGCTACCTCACTCACCAGACGAAACGCGAAAGTAGAAGTATCACTTTACACTGGTCTTCTGTGAGGTCGGGGTACTTACCCGGACGGGCCTGCCCATTCGTGCAACAACCGAGGCTGCTGCGTGGACCTACCACCGTAGTCCATCTTGTCGAAGACCTTTCCCACCAAAGACTGTATCACCCCCTTACCGTCAAGTGAAATTGTAGTGCATTCCATGACAAAGAAAGTCTGATGAATGGCGGCATCGTGTTTAGGAGTCGCGATCTGATATAGCTGACTCGAATCTCGTTCTTGTTGACCATAATTACCTTGATACCAAACAAACATATACAGTTCTTTAAGGCGATAAGGTTTTATAAACTCAGTACTACGTTGAAAGCAAATTATCCATCTGCCTCATATAATATTTAAATAAACGAGACCTAAAATATAACTATAGCTATAGCTTATAATGGTTTTCGTTGTTCGTTTCATTCTTAATCTGAATATCATTTGTTAAAATTGGCAATAGTAATAAAAATAAAAAAAACTAAAAACCCGTTCTTCGGCATATCGTGACGTACCTGCAACAAAAGAAAACAACATTAATTAAAACAACTGAATTTTTATAGAAAACTCGTCGCTGCGATATTCGCACCTGTGTGTAGCGAGTAAAGATGTTTTAGCAATTAAGCTATAGCAAATAACACCGACGGAACATGTTATTTATATGTATTATATTTATTTATGTTTATGTATGTTTATTATATGTTAGATCATTTTGGTATTATCAAGTAGGCTCATTAAGCACACCACCTCCCACTATTCATTAGTTTAATTTTATTCGTCCTAAGGCTGTCTCGAAGAGATCGCTCTTTAGCGATAAGACCGCCTTATTGTACCTAACTTTTAAAATTACTTTAACTTAATTTATTGTAATGAATATATATATATATATATATATATATATACAGCGTGTCGTTACCATCGCGACAGTAAATGAAAAATATTAACGTTAAAAAAATCCATAATTAAAAAAAATATTTTTCAAACAAACTAATTAAGTAAAAAAGAAACGAAATTTGTAACATCCTATACAACTACAACTGACTGATTCATACATTCAGAGACTTTTTCATCACATCATATATTCAACCCATTCATATGCTTTGTGACATTTACAAATGAACTTTACGTTACAGTTTTATACGTAAGGGTGTTCTAAAATTGTTTGTTTTGGACAATTTAATAACTCTGTAAATATTGATGTTTCAAGAATGTAAATTGTTGATACAATTTTAAAAAGTTATCCTCTATATGTGGTCATTTATTGTGGCGTTGGTAACGACACGCTGTATATATGATAGGGCCACGCAACAGTCTTCGCTGTTGTACGAATGGGCAGGAAGTACCAGGATCACAGAAGACCGGCGTAAAGTGAAAGGTTTATGCTTCTGCGTTTCGTCGGATGAGTGAGGTAACCGGTGCCCACTTCATTAAAAGCCTGCGGGTGTTGTAAATATTATCACTTAACATCAGGTGAACCGCCAGCTCGCGTGCCACGTTCTAACATAAAAAAAAAACGCCCACATTAGTATTAACGTTTAAAAACGTATATCGTTATCACCGAAACCGTTCCGTCGTCGTTATTCAATCGCGCTAACGATTTCGGACATTCGAAGCGCACGTTTCGCGCGCACGAACAAGCAAACAAACATCTTCGGTTTCTGTTTACTGCACGAGTGTTGCGTAAAATCGACACGCGTGCTCTCGGATCAAAGTGAACGCAACTAATTGGTCGATGTGCATAA